AGAAACGTCACTGAGGTAACATTTATTATTATTATTATCTCTGTGGTTCTGATAAAATGAAAAAAAAAAAAAAACAATCCAGCTATAATATTTATAATATTTTATACTACATTTGTCTTCCAAACTAAGCACTTGTGATGTGATCACGAATTTTTGTAAAAGTCGTACTCTACCCACTTGAGAACAATGTGAAGATATTTCTTTAGTTTATTATTATTCGTTTACTACATCTTTTTAATTATAAACTGTACTTTTCCTCAACCCACCCTTCCCATCCGCCTTAATGCTAGCCAGTGACAGGCTAGGTACAGGATGTAATGTGTGTATATTAATACAATGCAAAAATAATACAAAGGTCAGTGATACTATAAATAATTGATAGTAAAAGCAAAATTATGATGAATAGAGTAAGGTTAAATAATTATCCTAGTAATGTTGTACCGGTACATTAAAATACCACTTTACCTATTCAATCCATTACTACTGTACATATTTGCGAAAGTAATGAATCAACATTTAAAATAAATGAATCTACGATGTATTCGTCAATTTACCACGAAGCCATACTAGGTAATACTAATAAGTGTAGGAAATTTGTCTGAGAGGGTTCAAATTATGTTAATACGCGTTTCAAAAAACCCTGAGCCAGGCATCCCCGCATGATCGATCCCCGCATGAGGGCGTCATGGATGTGAGCTATGGAGACATTGTATAATTATTATTTGCGTTTAGAAACAAAAGCTTGATATTACATTTACTTTTGCACAACCTGACAAACACATTTCAAGACTGTGTTAATCTTTCTATACTTCTTGAAAAAAAATAAACATCCTTTTTTTTTCAATTTAGCCACAAAGTATTCCAAAGGCACCTGTAAGCATGTACGATCCGCTCGTTTCCTGTCTCTTATACACATCTAGATGTGTATAAGAGACAGGTGTTATTGATTGTATATTGCTAAGATACTTTCTCAATATGTTCATTTTATGTCAAGCGTTGACAAAGACTACAGGAGTAGCCGAAATATTCGCCAAATAAATTTTAGTGTTTCTAAAGTCAACATCTTACGTATTTGAGTTTCTTTACTGTTACGTTATATTTTATTCTACATGTTTCTAAACACACGTGGACACGCCTTCTTCATATATATATATATATATATATATATATATATAATATTTTTTATTTCTGTTATTAGTTATTAATACAGACATTCGTTTTTCATATTTTTACATTAGCTGTTCATTTAGAAATGTGACATTCAGTTCGTCATTGTCATCGTAGTCAAGCATCATCATTATCATCATTATCATATCTTCATCATCGGCAGCACCATCATCATCACCACTACCACCAATGCACTTTCCATGGGGACAAATAAATTTGATTTTGATTCTGATTGTAGAAGTGGTTTGGCGCTGGAACGGGTTTGGTTTCCAAACCTCGAGGTCGGGGTTTCAATCCCTCACTGTTCATTTCGCTTGTGTCTTTAAGCAAAGCACTTTATCTACGTTTGTTTCTCTCCACCTAGGGGTAAGGGGTACCTGAGGAGGTTCGAGTGCAAAATGCGCTGAAATATTTCATGCAGCAAACTATTGAATATCCCCCACAGGCATCGTTCCAATAGCTGGGATAATAGTGTTATGTAAAAAAGCGCTATGAAACTTAGTTGTATAGAGCGCTATATAAGAAAACATTTTCTTATCATTATTATCTATATATTATTAATTCTGCTAATCGCCACCGCGTAACTTCCCTTGATCTCCTCTGAAACCGCTGGGAATGTGCTCATATCTTATACACTCACTGGGGCTTTTATATGTCACGACCACATTTCCGCTACTTTTTAAGGCTGGATATTGGAAAAAAAAAACAGCAAAAACCACCGAAAATCAATAGCTGTTTCGCAAGTTGCTTACGTCACGTAAATACAATTAATCACATTTATTCTGTACTGCAATCAATGCTTAGGTCTAAAAATTATCGAGTCAGGCGGTAAAAGAACCAGTCTATGTTTCGCAGCTTCATTACGTCACCGCCCAGTATATGTGCTATTCGCTTATTCAATTATTCTGAAACTGTTGTGCGACCCCCCACCCCCATTTTAAAAACATTTAGGATCCACCCTCAATAACACTGCACAATAATTCCTCACAAGGACTAGAGTGTGCTGTAAAGACACTCAAAACATTAACTACAAAGACGTCCTTCAGAAAAATAATGACATATGGTAACCATATCCACAACGATTGCCTCCCCATTCAACAATGTAGGCCTACGTGATTACCTTTCCCCGCTCATTTAACACCGTGCGGAGCACGGGTATATGCTTATATATACCCGTTTATTATTATTATTATTATTATTATTATTATTATTATTATTATTATTATTAT